TTGACCTTTAGCCACCAAATCGAATCAGTGTCCTTGAGTCTAGAAATGAACGTTTTACCACATTTGAAGAAATTCCCTCAAGGCGTTACAAGAGATATTGGTTCAAACGACCCAAACCGTGTTTTGTGAGGTCACCGTGACCTTGACCTTCGACATTCGACCACCAAAAATCTAATAAGTTCATCCTTGAGTCCCAGTGAATGGTCCGTGCCATATTTCAAGAAGTTCGTCGAGGCCTTTCTGAGATATCATGTCCATGAGAATGGGATGGACGGACGGACAACCTGAAAACAATATGCCTCCAGCTCTGACTGTCGCCGGCGTAAAGGCATAGAAATCAGATAGTACAATAAGATAAGGGCGAATGATGGACAATGTAAAGTAGAATACAAAAAAAGACAGTAGATGATAAAATATGCAAATGACAATTAAAACCAGAAACCAGTAAGAATAGTAAAGTACGAGATAATTAATTAAAAGCCAAATAAATTAAAAAGGTTTTCGTCTTTTGTCGTTCATCGTTTAAAATGTTCACTGAGCACTTCTCTTACAGCTCTTGGCAGGTTGTAGTTAAAAAAGCAGCGCGGCCTATTTTCTTTTTGTGAAATGTTGTGTATTTAAAAGCCTGGAGAAGAACATCTCTGAGTTTGTGGTGTTGATGTTTGTCGCTCCTCTTCCTGCCTCTGTCATATAGAAACTGTGATTCCAGTGACTGTACTGACCCCATCCAGACCACCAACAGCACTGGATTTCCTGACAAGTCTCATGACACAATACGTATTGTGGTTGTGTTGTGTGTGTATTGGTCCAAGCATCCACACAACAGTCAACAGGCTCCATGTTTTAGACAAGTATTTGGTTTTGATTAGAGTTCCTGCGCTGTTTATTCAGTGCTTTGTTACAGAGACACTGTGAAAAGCCTGGTTTCATATTAAGACTTCTCCCTTCCCAACATGCTGAGAGCTGCTGCACCAGGTCTGTCAGAGACACAATGAAACACAGAGACGGCCTCCCCACTAACATTTGATTTGCTTTTTACTTTCCATTTTATTGCTCTCCTGCTGCTCAGCACCAGCCAGAGAATGTGATCGTTCTTTCACTCAAGCAAAGGATACAGCAGGAGAGGGAGAGTGTCTCAACACCCGCATCCACTGTGTAGGAGAAAACCTTTTAATCCATACTCTCAATCATTACTTTCATGTTTTAGAATGGGCCTGTCGGTTTCAAATGGACACTCTCTCCTTTTAATCAAAACCACTGAGACAAAGGGGAGGGAGCCGTGAGCCGTGAGATGCACCCTGTGGAAGAGTGTAGAGCCTGAAATACATTGCATTCCAATGTAGCTGCTGATCCAGGTCTTTTCTGTTCAACGTACCAGTGCCTGTATTCATGCACATGTTGAGCAGATTAAAATCACTTTTGCGTCTCACAGCTTCCTCCCTCTTTTTTTCTGAATTACTTAGACTGACCCGTCTGGGAAGAACTTGAACTCTGATTCCTTTTAATCAAAAACAAGCCAGGATTTCATGGCTTCCTCCTGTTTCTCCTTTCTTCTGCTGGGCTGTAAATATTTAACTCTTGCCACGAGCTGAGCAGTGATAGTGAGAAGTGTTAGGTATATAGCTGCCAATATACACCAATAGCTTCAATATGATTGGGTGTTGGGCAGTCAAATATTGCCGGCCCTTAAGCTGTTACAAGATGTTGAGGTGTAGGATGAAGACTAAGGTATGCTGATACTTATTGCTTATCCTTTTTGCCCTCCCCCACCCCGACAGATGTGACAGCTGTGAGAAGTGGCTAAGCTGATAGAAATGACTTCCTCCAGAAAGTACCTGCACCAGGTGCTCACAGAGCTGCTCAGCTGCCCCTGCTCCTACCCCTCTGAGGCTGTTTACAGCGCAATCAATATCCAGAGACACCAAACTTCCACAGACCTACCGTTGAGGGATGCAAGTGGCCAAAGAACGTAACTGGTACCAAGCCTTCAGCCAGATTCTGCATCGCTCAATGCTGTCGTACGACAGCACAACGTTAGCGGCACAGCACTGCTGCTACAATGATCAGATGAGACTGTAACAAGAGGGAAAGGAGCTGGAGCACCAAACTAATCAGCACAGAGTTTTCACCAGATCTGCATTAACAAGGTGGAACGTACTACCTTGGATCCTGTGCAAAGGGGACTGGAGTCGGTTTCACTCAGTAAGGCCGCCCAATAATGGGCTGGAGTGTGCAGTTAACCCACCGAACAAGTGTTTCAGATTGAACTTAAAGAAGCCAGGGAGTACTGACACTGTGGGAGTGTGGGTCGCAACGGGGAGAGGATGACAGCAGATGGAAGCTGTGCTTTGTAATTCAAAGCACAATTTCTCCTGCATATCATCAGCATCCGCATGAGCACAAAGAAATGACCTGGATTGTTAATACAATGTTTGTGTGAAATGGTCCTTGCTCCAGACTGAGTAACTTTGGTTTTAAATAAAAGGACATGACATTCAAATCATATATAAATATGAATAGAAGACATGGACAACACAAAGACTGGTGAATATTTTTATACTTATATGTAGACTATGTGTTGAGGAATGAAATAACACTGGTGCCTAGAAAATCACTGCTGTTTTCAGCTGATCCTCATCCCTGTATGTTGCTGCTACTCTTGTTGGGATGTGCTGAGATAAATGTCTGATGGCACTTGTGGTGCAGTGTGAGTTTGTAAGAGTGTGTGTGTGTGTGGAGTGTGCGTTCGTGTGTGTGGAGGATGAGCTTATTTATTGGCCCCTTAATCAAATTTAGTGTCCCATGAAAGATTTCCTGTCACAAGCTGCTAAACAGGGAATAAAGTCAAATGGACTATTGGACAATAAAATGTCTACATGTTCATCTTTACAAAACATCTGTACACAGTAGCTACATGCCACATGCTCCCACAGCAGGAAAACACACTGTTTTATTTACATATAATGCAAAGTAAAACCTTGAGGTAAAAGTAACATCATCTGATTTCACATCCATGTTAGCATATCCTACACTAACCTAAAAAAAATTTTACATGCTGCTACATTTTAAAATGTTATATCATCTTAATGTCTACCATCCAAACTGAGAGGAAAAAAATTAAATTCTACATCCAATGAACACCATATTTGCTGGTGGGAAGCCAGTGAGGATAAGGTCAATGTTGCTGCACTGGAACTCCACCTTGTTGATCAGGGCACCTCTGTGGAAGGGGGTGGGCTGTAAGACTGAGTATAGAGAGCTGAGGTGAAACTGCAACTTCCAGAAATAAAAACTTTAATTAACATTTGCAATAATGTGAATGATTTAAAATCCAGCCCCGCCTGTAACATGAAACACAACATGATGGAAGCAGCCTCGCTGCAATATGGCTGCATTTATATAGTTTCACACACACACACACACACACACACACACACACACACACACACACACCACACACACAACACAGACAGTTAGTTACTAAGGACTATGGACTAACCCATTTATTTTGCAGCCTTGCTGTACGATTTGCTGTTCATGCACCTCAGATGAGTCATAACAAAAGATAAATATACTTACTAACTACAGAAATCCTTTATTTTCTCACCATCACTCATTATGTCCTATTGTGTAAATCTTTGCATTTTTGAATTTTAGTCTTAGTCCTAAGATCCTTAGTTTAGTTTAAGTCAACTTCATCCTTTTCATTTTTAGTCAATATTTAGATCAACTGAAAACTTTTACAAATAATATATAGTCTTGTCTTACTGGTCTAGTTTAGTCAAGACCAAGAATGAGCATTTCAAAATTTTAGGAAAAATGCTTTCAATTAAGATCCGACTAATTTTAGGTCAAATGAAAACAAAAATGAAATAAAGCCTGAAAGTGAGAAGGTAGTATGATTAAGAATGGGGTGTGTGGTCTGGTCTAACTATAACTGAGGAATCTCTGTCTGTATTTAACCTTCAACCACCGATCATCATCGACTCCAGACTTGGTGGGTATGCTGCTGAGGACCAGAGGGAGCTCAGTGTTGGCTGTTAAGTTTTTTCAGTGAAACACTTCCTGAGAAAACTTCAAAAACACTGTGTTTCTGCATGTTACTGGAAGTGAAGAAAAAAGGCGGAGCTACACTGTGACAGCTCTTCCTGGTCCACAAGTAACAAACAAGATGGACATACACACTGAGTGTAAGCAATAGCCCTGTCGACACCCACATTTTGAACAGGCGCGCACAAGTGTTACGATTTAATCACATATAATCCAGACATGAAAGAACGATGAAAATATTGAGCTAACTTCCAGTATGAGTCAATCATTGCTGTGATCTTAACTTTCTGTTTGGTATCCATAACCCTGAGTTTCCAGGAAAAAGAAAGCCCACACAATCATAAAGAGCCCTGTCCAACAGCCCTGCCACAAATCCTCTAACACATCATAATGTTCAGAGTTTTATATTTAATATATCTTTTAATCATTGTAGCAGCTGCAAGTGGAGACAGTGACATTTTAGTGACATTTTCTGTATTTAATTAGAAATATAATAATAATGAACGAGAAATCCAACATTCCAGTAACCTGCAAACTGTCCAACAGACCTTGACCGTCCACATCCTTCAAAACCCACCCAAAACAATTAAGTGTCAAATCATACATTTTAGCAGCACAGAAGGCGAAAATTTAGTACACTGTAAAAAAGTTGCCAATGGGATTTTTCAAATTAATGGCCTCAGAGGTGGTGTGGTGTGATATTAATTCACTAGTGGCACACCTATCTACACATATGTTAGGGTTAAGGTTAGGAGTAACTTGGCAGAGCAACTAAAAATCTAACTTCTTATCAGATGTGGAAATATCAGAGAGAAGATTTTTAGGTTAGAGTGATGAGGTAAAGTTTTATATTACTTTTGCTATTAAAGTAAGAGAGTAACAAAAGAGTAACAAAAAGTTGTTAAAAGCTGTTCAACAGGACTGAGTTATACAGAGTTTCTGCTTCATACCAGCACAGCTCTCCAGGCCACACGTGCGTGACTCAGTGGCAGTGCAGGCGTAGCCACAGGGACGGGTGCGTTTCTGGGTGCCGTGTCCACAGGTTACGCTGCAGGGAGCCCAGGGGCTCCACTCCTCCTCATACTCTGAGAAACACAGGGAGAAAAGATGGATGAAGGGGAGATAGCACCAAGGGGAAAAAACAAAACTATGGAGTAATATATTAAGTGCAAGCTTTGAAGTTTGCCGTGTGAATTCCTCGCCCAGCTGGTGTGTGTGTTATGTAATTAAAAAGCGGCTGAGAAGAGCCGGGTAACGACAGCGTGGGACCTCTGAGTCATGCTCCTCTGTATTTAAACAACACTTGCAGGGGGGGGTAGAAAGAGGGAGAGAACTTCAAAAGACTGGGACGGGGGAGGGGGAAGGGGGTGGGGGTGGTAAGGGGGGGCGTAGCAGGAGTGAAAGTCTTCTTGGAGTGAGAGTGATGATGGCTGTATGCTAGCAAAACTCACTCACTCAGCTTTCAGAGGAGTACAAACTGAGTTATGTTCCAACATTTTATCAATAACTGCAGCTTAATGCTCCAGCTGAATTAATACGTTCGTGTCGCACTGTATATTCAAGATATTCCTGAAATAAAAGCTCAAAATCATATTGTTAGATCACGTGTGAATGGGAAACGCAATAATCAATACCTTGTAAAAAGGTGTGAAGAATAAAATAAAGCCTTTCGAAAAACACTGGCACTGCTACTAAATGAATAGTTGAGGGAATTATAAGGTTCAATCTGCATTCTGAGCGGTTTTGAGATATTGAGCTTCATAGTTTTTGCATTCCAAATAGCAAAACGTATGTGGAACAGGTTTCTTTCATACATGAAAATAACAGACATTGGATATACAATATCAAAATCCTATAACTTGGAATATTTGGAAAAGGTTAAATGCAGATAGAACCTTGTAACCCTGAGAACTTGCTTTCTGCTTGAAATTATATGGTTCTATCTTGCAAAACATGAAAACAAGCAATGATTTTCAGTTTACTCATGATTAGTCATAATTAGACATTTATTTCTTGTTTTATGATGAATTATTATGTTAGATTAGATAATTAGACACATTAGATGTAGGAATTAGATATATGAGTTTAAGTTTTCTTTAGGTTATACAGCAAGTAAGTATAGCAGTATAAATGAATGGAATTAGTGTTTATCGTGTGCCTAAGACCTCATCAATTAAAATGTTGACTATCTAATTACCTACAGGTATTATGTGGCTAGCATGCTAACAGTGAAAATAAACTCCTCAGCAAGATCTGAAACAATTGAAAAAAGACTGAACTTGCATTTGCACTGCTGTCCTTCTCATTGACATTTTCTCATCTCCACTGAGTTTTCTGTCTTGTCTGCCCCTTTTCCCGCTCACTGAAAAGTGAGGTGACCTGACAGAATGCAGACAAGACCACCAATCAGCTTCTGCTTCTCTAAGCGCTGATTTACTCAGAAGTAGAACCTTATAAAACCAGGTTTGACTTTGGAGATAGAACCTTTTTTGTTTTCACATTAAGAAGTCCAAAAGTGCATAAAACTAAAAGAAACACCTCACATAATGTTAACAGGTTGTCACTGAAGGAAAAAAAATGTGAATAAGTAAATTTTGACAAAAATGTCAGATAGAACTTGATAATAATTAATAATATAATAATTCCAAGGAGACAGAATGTGCATCAGATGGTTGTAAGCTCAGACATGTGAATGTTGGGTTGTGAACCAGCACAAATGCCACCTGCGTGCAGCAGCGCATGTTGACTCAACATTGTCATATTGTCAACTTATGAGGTGGCACAGTTGTTAATAAGCTTTCGTCATGTACACATCCAACAGACATGAAGCAACAGCATTCATTCCCAATATTCACTCTTTTTATTCCCTCTCTTTTAGCTCTGGGTTTGGTCTCCACCAACTCCTGAGGGAAACGTCTGGCTCTATAGCTGCTCCACTGATGTCACGGTTCAACTGTGAGCTAGTTCCGTCCCTGGCTTTCCCTGTGTGTGTAGGTGCTGTGGGCGCGGTTTCCCCTACCTGGCTCTGGAGCCCCCCTGCCCCAGCTCAACTCTCTCTCTCACTCAGTCCATATTAAATTCTATATTAAACCTGCTTTTGATTCCCAGTGTCGGATTTTGGGTCCAGAATTAACTTCAAAATGTGACAGAACAATGTAGACACTGACTCCATTCGGCACACTTCTCACCTCTCTAATCCTCCTCCAGTCAGTGAAGAAACCTCCTCTCCTGAACCTCCTCTGCAGGCTGTTCAAAGCCAGATAACTCACTCTCGAGAACCATTTATGACCCCGGTTATTGTGGAGTTTTTTATTTCAGTGTTCCTTAGTGTTTTGTCAGCAGCCTCTTACTCTTACCAGTCAGAGCAGTCTCGAGTATCTTTTGTTATGGGGCTCCTTGCCAGTAGAATAGCTCAGTGGGCTACTGCTCTTTGGAATCAACAGTCACCTCTTCGATTCTTATTCTCCGTTCTCAGCTGAGTTGAGAAAAGTGTTTGATCACCCTGTTCAAGGGAAGGAGGTGTCCAGTAAGCTTCTCTCCTTGCATCAGGGTAACAGAACTGTAGTAGATTATTCTACTGAATTCAGGATTTTGACTGCTGAGAGTGGGTAGGATGAGACCTCCTTACAGGGAGTTTTCAGACATGGGTTAGCAGAAGATATTATGGATGAGATTGCTGCTTGAGATGAGACTGATATCTCTGACTCTCATTTCCCTAGCCACCATTAGATAACTGCCTCAGAGAAGGTCATAGGGAAAAATCTAGCCAGGCAGCAGCCTAGGCCCCCTCCAAGTGCTAGCCCACATAGGTACCCAGCAGCAACCTCTCCATCCTGTCCACCATTGCTACAGTGTTTTCCAAACGCAACCTCAGTAAACAGCTTATCACCTTATTCGTGAAGCCTTCAATTGGACATTTTGAGTATTTGGTAATGCCCTTTGGCTTCCCTGCAGTTTTTCAAAACCTGGTAAATGATGTGTTCCATGACATGCTTAACTGCTTCCCCTTTGTGTATTTGGATGATATTCTCATCTTCTCCCAGAACATGGATGAACACATCCAACACATCAGGTTAGTGCTGCACTGGTTACTTGAGAACAAGTTGTTTGTTTGAGACTGAGAAATGTGAGTTTCATGTTCACTCTGTTAACTTTCTCAGATATGTCATTGAGCAGGGACAAGTTAAGTCTGATCTAGATAAAATCCGAGCAGTGGCAGCCACAACGGGCCCCACAACCCATAAACAGTTGCTGCATTTCCTGGGTCTCAGGTTCTCCAGTGGGGTCATTCATCTAAACTGACCTGCCACCCAGGTATTCATCGCTCACTAACCTTCATTAAATAGCGTTTCTGGTGGCCCATCATGTCATAGGACACAAGAGCCTTCGTCTCTGTCTGCTCTGTCTGTGGCCACAGTAAGATCTCCAGTCACCTGCTGGTCTACTGCGCCCCTTGCCTGTTCCTAATTCACTCCTGGTCCCACATTGCTGTAGACTTTTTACTGGACTGGCCTCCTTCCGAAAGTAACACTACAATCTTGATTATTGTAGATTGTTTTTCCAAGGCAGTTCATTATGTGCCACTTTCCATACTGCCTTCTGCTTTAGAGACAGCAAATCTCCTCGTAAACCATGTTTTAAGATTACAAGGTATTCCTGCGGACATAGTCGATTGTGGTCCCCAGTTTTCTTCTTAAGCGTGGAAAGCCTTTTTCAAGGCATTAATGGCCACAGCAAGTCTTTCCTCAGGCTATCATCCTTAGACCAACGGACAGACTGAGCGAAAAATAAAGATTTGGAATTGGCTCTCCACTGTGTCACTGCCCACAACCTGGCCTCCTGGAGCTCATAACTTTCCTGGACAGAATACGGCCACAACTCCCTCAATTGTCTTCCCGGGACCTGCCTTTGCAAGTGGACTCCCGTAAGTTGGTCCCTCTTCACATTGGACTTTAAATCATTAATTCAACTGTGGTCCGCCTCAAACTCCCCCCATCTTTGAAGATACATCTGGCCTTTCATGTGTCTTTGCTCAACCTGTACAGTGCTTTGCAATAATATTCAACCCCCTCCCCAGATTCTCAATTAGATTGAGGTTTGGCCTTTGACTAGACCATTCCAAGACATTTAAATGTTTACCCTTAAATCACTCTGCTTTAGCAGTTTGCTTAGGGTCATTGTCCTGCTGGAAGCTGAACCTCTGTCGCAGTCTTAAATCTCTGGAAGACTGACACAGGTTTTCCTCAGGAATTTCCCTGTATTTAGCACCATCCATCATTCCTGTAATTCTGACCATTCTCGCAGTCCCTGCCAATGAAAACAATCCCCACAGCATGATGCTGCCACCACCATGCTTCACTGTGGGGATGGTGTTGAGATGGGGTGATGAGAGGTGTTGGGTTTGCACCAGACATAGCATTTTTGTTGATGGCTAAAAAGTTCAATTTTAGCCTCATCTGAGGCTCACCTTCTTCCACATGCTTTTTGGTGAGCTCCAAATGTGTTATATATTTTTTCTCTTGAAGCAATGGCTTTTTTCTGGCCACTCTTCCATAAAGCCCAGCTCTGTGGAGTGTACGGCTGTATACGATATGGACAGATCCTCAAATCTCCACTTTGGAGCTTTCCAGCTCCTTCAGGATGATCTTTGGTCTCTTTGTAGCCTCTCTGATTAATTCCCCTCTTGCCTGGTCTGTGAGTTTTGATGGGCGACCCCTGGCAGATTTGTTTTGGTGGCATATTCATTCCATTTTTTAAAAATGGATTTAATGGTGCACTGTGGAAAGTTCAAAGTCTTTAATAACCCAACCCTGATCTGTCCTTCTCCACAATTTTGTCCCTGACCTGTTTAGAGAGCTCCTTGGTTTTCATGGTGCCGCTTGCTTACAGTAGTGGTGTTGCAGACTCTGGGGCCTTTCAGAACAGGTATATAAATACTAAGGTCATGTGATAGATCATGTGAAACTTAGATTGTGCATAGGTTTGTGTGTGTCTTATTTAAGTAATTAAGTGGTAAGGTAGTTACTAAGACAATTGGTAGGGGTTTCATGGCAAAAAGAGTGAATACAGAGGCAAACAAAAAAATGACAATGAATAAATTAACTTTTAGAGTTTTTTAAAACAAGTCTGTTTTTTTTTTCATTTACCTTCACCGATTTGGACTATTTTCTCTAGGTCCATTACATAAAATCCAAATAAAAATCAGTTTAAGTTACAGGTTTTAAGGCAACAAAATAGGAAAAACACTAAGGGGGTGAATACTTTTGCAGGGTACTGCATCCTCTAGCTTTCTGTGCCCCCCCCTCCTTGTGTCCCATCCCCTGTGTGTGTAGATGCCGTGGGCACAGTTTCCCCTACCTTGCTCTGGAGAGTACCATACCTGCATGTCATTACCTCATCAACCACTTTACAAATACTCTGGCCTTTCCTCTTTGCCAGATTGTTCAGCAACCACAATGGTAGCCAGCTCTTGGCCAATTTGTTGTTTTTGAACATTATCGAGAGTGTTTCTTGTGCTTGTGAACTTTTTGCTTACACAAATTTTTTCCTCTGTGCCCCAGGACTCCAGAGCCAGATCCCACACCCTCCTCCACCCAAGTCTCTGCCTGCTTCACCCTCCAATCTTCAGTCACCAACCAGCCTCTATCTGCATTTGGATTTGGATTCTCCTCATCACCCCAATTCCCTCTCAAGCCCTGGATCAGCCCCTCTACACCATAAGATGTCCATCCTCCATTCTTTCCCTTATTCTCTGTCATCTGGCTGTTGCTTCTCCCCCCTCCGTTGGCTATCTGCGTTCCAGTGCCAGCCCCCAAGCCCCAGTTCAAGTCTCTCTCCTTCTCTCTCACTAAGTCCATATTAAATTCTATTTCAAACCTGCTTTTGGTTCCCAGTGTCTGCTTTCAGGTCCAGAATTAACAACTGAGGCCCTGTTTACACCTGGCATTAACCGTGATCCAATCACAGTTCATACCTGCCATTAGAATGCGTCTCAAGTGACCACTTGTGATCGGATCTCACTTCCTTGCTCTACAGTATATGCAAGTAAACATGCATGCTTTGGTGGCTCACCTGGTAGAGCGCATGCCACATAAGCTTAGTCCTAACCGAGCAGGCACAATGTTAACATGTTCACCACCTTAGTTTAGTGCAGTAGTTTCCAACCTGTGGGCCGTGACCCACTAGTTGGCCGTGAAGGTATTTCAAGTGGGCCGTCAAATCATCTGCAAAATAGTAGGCTACAATTTTGGTGAAAAGATGCAATTATAAAAAAAAATACAAATATAAATAATGTTTTGAAACGTTACTATTTTTTCTTGTATTAAGGACTGTCTCTGTGATATGCTAATGATGGGAACTTTAATGTTATGCTGCCTGACCACATCATATACTTGTTTGCCATCTCAGACTGATTAAAAGATCCCATCTATGGCAAAAACTGGAGAATCAAAACAGATAGCTGGTTAGCAACAGGAAGAGTTAAATGAAAAGATTCAAGAGACAGATGGTGAATCAGCACATGATCTCTACCTGTCAAACAAAAAAGAAAAATGCTATCATTATCACTAAAATAAAAAGTGCTCTGAGAAGACAGTATTTGGCCTCCAGCTTGTTAAGGGGTTGGATGTTGGCTGGACAACATTTTTGAGATTTTGAAGTGGACCATGAGTTGGAAACTGCTGGTTTTGTGTGTTAGCATGCTAACATTAGCTGATAACAACCCACCCAAAGTACAAAAAGTACAGCTGAGGCTGATGGGAATGTCACTAGTTTTTCAAAAGTATTTTCAAGAAAAAAACAGAAGATGGCCTGATGATGGCGCTACATGAAACAAAGTGACAAAGAGAAAAAATTAAAGTAAATTAATATTTGCTATGACCACCCCCACAGAAAAATCTGACTGTGTGTGGGACAGAAAGAGCTTTTTTTGTCAACACCATTAAACATTTGCTTTATAGAGGCAAAATATGGGACTTCATTAGGTTTGATGAGACATTAAAATGACTGTAATATTGATTTCAGTCATACTGCCCAGCCCCATGTTGTGTAAATATGTAATAGTGTGCGTCAGGCTGCACTGCTTTGGTTTTCAGAGAGTATTCTCACCGTAGTTGTCCTTGGCATGCCAATCTTTGTTCCAGTGGCCTCCCCAGTCTCCCTCCACTCCACTGAGGACGAGCTCCTCTGGGTCATAGTTGTAATCCTCTGACTGCTCCTCCAGACTGGCTCTTCCCAACCCGTTCTCTGATTGCTCCGGGTACTCCCAGAACAGTGGCCAGAACAGCTTCTTGTGGCTGCTGGCCCATTCTGAGGACACCACTGACCAGTCGTTACGCTGACTTTCCTTGGCCAGGTCCATCTCCACCTCCGTCGCTGTCTGGGTGTCGTCCACCACCTCGATGGTCACCTGGAGTAAACACATACTTATTGTCCTGTGCAAATTCTTTTTTTTAAATGCCATACAGGCCTACAATGCACCCTACACATAGTATCATCAAACAGCCTCACTCACACTACTGCCTCTGTACAGTTGTAGTCATCTTACAGCAAATATGAGAATCATTTAAAGGAAAACACCAGAGACTTTTGAGAGAGTGTTAAAGAACTCATATGAGTGGTGCAACCGAACAGATGCCATGAAGCTGTGGCAGGTGAAGCACACGCCCACCTGTTGTCGATGTACGGTCCTTCCAGAGCGTTGCCACACGTCTCTTGCACCCTGTTTACACCTGGTATTAAAATGTGATGAAAATGTGCTCAGATCTGCCTGAGGTGGTCTGGCTCGCATTGTATTTGGATCTTAGGTAGATGTAAACATAATCTTTGACACCTACAGCTGATTTGCTGCCACCTCAAATTACTCGCTCTCAGGTTTTGCTCCGGGAGACAGAAACTCCATTTGCACCTGGAATTAAGATGCATCTTGTATCCAGATATGAGTTGAACCTGATTTTAACCTGCACAAACATGCACACGTACACGCACTAACATGCACGCACTGCCAAACCAACTACCAAGATAATGAACCGAGAAACTCAGATTATATCACACACAGAGGGGGTGTGGCTTCGTCATGCTCAGGACGCAATAACTCCACCACATCTTTACATAAAGAATAGTTGTTTGCTGCTGTATTTTTGTTTAAAATAACCTTTAAGTTTGATTGGTAGTCACTCTACAGTTGCAGTGTAATTAATGTCAGCATAATTATTGCATTACTTCCTGTCAGCTGAAAAAAGTTGTACATTAAATCTACATTTAATCTATGGAACATACTGTAAACAACTATTTTAACACAGAGATAATTTTGGTGCTAATCCTCTTGTCAGACATTCAGTTACGTGATCACAGTCTGTGCTAATTCCACAGTGGAAACAGTAAACAGCTTTGCCCTGATCTCCATGTAACAATAGTATCTGACTCTCTGCTCTGATTATGATTCCTGAGAGGGCTGCTCCACAGGTTAGTGAGGGTTCCTGTTTGAATACTCGCCCGTAGAGGACAGGGGAGGGAGCGAAAGAAAAAAAAAGTGAGCGAAAGGTGGTTGCATACATTAGAGCATAAGACTGTTAACCAGTGAATATTGGTGCCTGTACTGTGAAAAGTCCAGTAATAGACGCAGTAGCTGATATTGTGTTATTATTAGCCTTTCCAGCTAACTAGCTAAGTTAGTTGCCACAAGGGACATTCTGAACTGCGCAGACAGACTGCAAGTGACTCAGCTAAGATCTGGAAATTTCTTTGGATCACCAGAAACAGTCGGTGTCACCAGCCAGCGCTGCAGATAGCCAAGTGAAGCCTGGTAGCTTCTTTAACGACGTTGTGGGATGGAAGTTCTATTATTGAACTTCTCACAGTACAAATTCTAATTTTTTACTGGTTCGCAGTCTTGTGCTCTAATGTATACAGCGCATTAACTGGCAAACCACACTTTAAACCTGTTTTACAACAGTTCTCAGTCGTTTCTTCCCTCACTCATCCTCCGAGCAGCTCACCATCAGCCCGCATGCTCACTCCACCAGTGTGGCGATCCAACACTAGGATTGTGTGACTTACCTCCAGCTATTGTGAGTACTGAACAGTTATATTTGCTTGGTTTGAGTGACCCTAGCATCGGTCAGGACAGGGTTTTATTTCTTTCATTTTGTTGCTGGCTTGTGTGTGTATGGGTGAGTGCACATGAGGGGGCCCACAATTCAAAGAGTGCATTTAAGGTGAAATACAATAATTTAAAGGGTATGTTTAAGGTTAAATACCACAGTTTAAAGGTACTTAAAATGGTTTATTAATGGTTGAAATACAGAAGCAAAACAAAATTTGAGGGATGTAAGTACAATTTATTTGTGTAAATACAAAGTTAATTTTGCAAAGAAAGGCCGGTAGACTTGCTGGGTTACTGCTATAAATAGCAGTTATTTCATTTTTTGTCTTATTATTTCTACAAATTATTTTTTATTATTCCTGAAATTATCATTTCCCTTTGAATATAATAAATCCTGACCTAATTTTGGGGAACATAGATAATTGTTTGTGATTCCTTTAAAATATTAATAACCTTGTGAAGCCATATGAATAAAGGAGAAAATAGCTATTGCTAATTAATATTAAAGCACACTCTAAAAAGAAAAACAGATATAAGGGCTTAACTAACTAAAATAGGGAATCAGTTTTTGGACACACTACCACTACTACCTATAGAATAGGGTACAGAAGTGCTACATGTATATAAAAGACTAAATGTGTATTTTATAAGACAAAGAGGAAATTACAAAGTGACATGTTGGTACAAGCTCACAGATGAGGGAGTGATGTCACCGCTGCAGGAGAAGTCTGTTTATTTAAAGATGAGATTAAAGGTGTTCTCTCCTTCTTTGAAAGAAGGTTTTGTGCGGTGGATGAGGGGACAGAGAAATGGAAGAAAAATGTGGCGGGATGGAGAGATGAAGAGATAGCTGGTTCTCACTATCTCTCCGTTTCTCTCTGGCATTGCCACAAACAAGCACAGATGCAGACGCACGTGTAAACACAGACAAGTCCAGACAAAACCCATGTTTTGTGTTCATGTTTCCCACTTCAACTGTTTATAAAGACAAAGCAGCAGCTGAAGACAGAGACTCTGTGGAGGTTTATAGCTGACACCAGTATTATGTATCAGTATATCACCACATTTTCTGTCCCCTCTCTACTGTCTATCAGATAAATGAAAAAATGCCCAAAAAAATTTTTAAAAAAGAATTTGGTTTTAAAAAAGAAGAGTTTGTTGAAAGTTACCTAATGTAGCATGGAAACTCATTGGCTTTTTAAAATGGGATGAATAGTCTCATAACAACATGTTAACATGGCTACCCACTTCCTGAGGCCTGTACTAGGAAGCAACTTCAACATACCCAGGATAACTTTTAGTTATCTGGTTTAACTAAACTATTGAACATTGGCCAATAACCTGTACTATGAAGTTGGTTATCAATGGGCTCAGTCAACCCTGGGTTTACCTGTCCAGGTACGAGCGCATTCATGTGAAAGAGGCAGTTTTTAATTATAAGCAACATCGTCAGAACCATGAATAAAGTGTTGATGTGACAAGAAACGCCGATACTTGCTGATAGATTCAGTTATAGCCATGACCAAAAGTGATATTCAACAAGGTGAAATGTAAACAATATGACTGGAATAAAAAAATGTTATTTCCATGTCTAAATATAATTTCTATTAAAGTCAGACTAAAGATATATTGTAAATAAGTGCATGAATTATCATTACGTTTGAGTATTTTCACTCTTCAGTCTGATGAACATGTGATGCAGAGAAAGTTAAATTTAATGTCAAACTGTTTCTGCTTCAGAAAAGAGAGAAAGAAAAGAGAAGTAGTTGTAGTAGTAGACTTTAGTAGTAGACTGACAAGTCAGTCTGACTGGAAAGTTTAAAATTTATAAATCAAATTTATAATCATGGGTGGGATTATACAATTTTCAACAGTGTGGATAATTTCTAATCAAAGATATCAGAGGTTTGGTTCAGAGCTGCAGTGATGAAGAAGAGAGTAAAATCATCATCGGTGTCAGGAGTCGGATTAAAGAATATCTGTTCAATAAAAATGAAGCTATAATAGTTATTATATATTTATATAGTGTGATAAAATCTCCGTGCAAGCTCTGTTATAAAACAGAGTGGACACATGTTGGTCTGGAACAGCAAAACAATTCAACTGATTTATATAAATGTCTACTGATCATCGTTATTGATCACTTTATTGTAATCTCTTTTGTCCCTGTCAAGGTCCTGTGGGAATGATGACTCAGTTTTTCCAGGTATCTGATTGGTCAGTGGTTTGGCTGTTGACAGGTTTTGATCTGATCCTCTAAGTTAACCTGCACTGGAGCAGGTTAGGAGTTCGGCATCAGTTAGCATGGTGATTTACCCCGGTAACAAGTGACCCACCGTCATAGGACTGAAAACCTAGAGTTAAACATGAAGTTACCTCGATAACCTCAAATGACCTCTGACCTCTGGTCATGTGTATGTCTTTCTGTAAGCCCACAAACATAACAGTGATGCATCTATACATTTAAAAGTTACATACCAGAAATGCTATAATTCCTACTTCATGCTTTTCATGTCTAACATTCAATCTCAAACATGTTATATATGTTTATATATCCTCACATTACATAACCAGACGGTTTTCTTTTATTAATTATTATTGTTTTTAGTCATGCTGGTACCATGTCTGTGGGGATGGCTGTGTCAGACTGAAACATCTCAAGAACCTTTGGATGGCTTGGCACAAATTTGGTACAAATATTCATGGTCCACAGATGATGAATCTTGATAAAGGTCCATATTTTCTTCTTCTGTGTTTTATTTGAAGTGTTGATCCATAAGAAGATATATTTGTAGTTTTAAGAACCAAAACCCATCTCAATGTAGTTTTACATCTGCTCTCTCAGGCTTCTCTCTGCTCTAGAGCTCTAGTAAGAACAGGTCGGTCAGCCAATCAAAAGAGAGGAGGCTCTGAGCCTCTCGTGATTGGCTAACTGTTTTCTGAGTGATCCAATAAAAAATATAGCAGATTTCAGGTAAACACTCAGAGAAACCAAATCCTGCAAGGTTGGATATTGGCTCCAGGTGGGCGGGGCTTGGCGTGGCTGAGTGCGGTGACTGCTTTGTTGTGACATCATAAAGTTCCAGAGGTCCTGACGGCTGGTTTTAAGGCTCAGTTTCTGAATACAGGCTGTGTGCATTTCTCTGTGGACTGAGCGCTTTGATACTTTCACAGTGTTAATATAGAACCTTGACCTGCTCTATCAGGGTTGCTGCAAGTTTCAACAACTTAAATTTAAAGACTTTTTAAGACCTTTTTAAGATCATTATGAATAAAATTTAAGGCCGATTTCATGTCCATACTGGTAAAAAAGTAGAAAGGACATAAAAGAAAATCAGAGTCCTAAAATTACTTGCAAACTAAATGAATTTATCCCCATTTACAAAACTGTGTATTCACAACTGTATGAGAGAGAAAAGGGATTAACACAGCAGAAGTCCTATATAACAAGACCACAACAACTCAACAATTTAATGCCCATCAACTACACTGTGTATGAGAGAGAGAGAGAGAGAGAGAGAGAGAGAGAGAGAGAGAGAGAGAGAGAAGGGAAAGATACAGACACAGAACCTGTTCAGACCTGGTTTTCACATCTGCCTCGGGTGATTCGATCACAGTGGTGACGCTCTCTGTCTCTCACTAACACACACACAAAATTACATTGGACAACGGACCGATTGGCCTAAAAACAACCACGCATACCTGTTTATTTAATAGAGCAGGGAAGTGAGATCCAATCACAAATAGTCAATCGAGACACATGTGAAGATGCATTTTAAAGCAAGGTGTGAACTGATGTACTTAGAGCTGACCACTTGTGATCCGATTACTGAAGACGCATGTTAATACCAGGTCTGAACAGGGCCATAGAGAGACTTGTGTGAGTGAGTGAGTGAGTGAGTGAGTGAGTGAGTGAGTGAGTGAGTGAGTGAGTGAGTGAGTGAGTGAGTGAGTGAGTGAGTGAGTGAGAGAGTGAGAGAGTGAGAGTATTTGTGTATTGGCTGTCTATAGTCTATATGTGTATGTGTATATGTATATGTAAAAGTGTGAGCGTGTGCATAGGAAAAGTAGGTTAGTAGAAAAAATATATACGAAACGTGGTTACTTTGCAAACCATGACCAGCTGTGTGTATGGCCATAGATTTAGATCAGGCCGCAACATTTGTATAAGCTATCAGTTCCACGTTGGTCTCGTTTGTAGTTTTAGTACAGCGTCGTATATGTGGACTATCGAAAGAAAGAACTACAACATGGAACCAATATACACTGTGCCATCAGAGAATTACGTGCCGCCAAACTTTTGTCCCCCCCAAAAAAACAAACATTTTGAAGCGCGACGGAAGTAGTGTTAAATAAACATTAACATTTAAGACCTAAACATGAGGTATTTAAGACCTAGTACATAAAGGGGGCGCCTCTGTGGTTCACCTGGTAGAACACGTACCACATGGGCTTAATCTTAACCACAGCGGCCACGGGTTCAAGTCTGACTCACGGCCCTTACATGTCATCCTCTCTCTCTCCCTGACTTTCCTGTCTCTCCTGTCTCTCTCTCACTGAACTATAACAGTAAAGCCAAAAATGCCCTAAAAAATAACTTTAAAAAAAAGACCTAGTACATAAAACCTTTATGTTTTTGAGACTGTTCAAGGCCTAAAATTCAGATTTTTGAATAAGAGACTTAAGACTTAGGACTCCACGGAAACCCTGTTCATAAACAAAAGAACACATGGACATCTACCTTTATACCCAATGGACCTTTAATCACCTCGATGATCCTCAGGTCAAAGTCTTAATTTGTCTTTATACTTTATGACCAATTACATGCAAAACTAATGACACTCCCATCAGGCTCAGCTGTGCTCTGAGTTTACAATTAGTAAAATGCTAGCATGCTAACACGCTGAACAAAGGTGGAGAACATGGTAAACATTATAGTTGCCTCACAGTTCATGGTTACAGACTTGTGTTTTTGATGAAAGTTGTAAATACATGAGCGTAAAGTAATATAAAGTTCATTATTAACCGGCCCTTGACAATTAATTTCAATCACAGCTATTTTGAGTGAAACTGTTGTTTGCTCTGTCTCAGCTGAATTCAGGATGATACTGTATATACATGTGATTCTACTGGCCAGGCTCTGATCCCCCACAGTCACAACCAGCTAATTCTAGTTAAATAATTATAAAGAGAACAATTTTGTCTCAAAAAAACACATAATAGAAAAACTGTAGAAAACGGGTAAGGAGAAGTGACATGGAATTCCTCATCTAGTCCAACACATTCTGACTCCACAAGTCAAGTTTCTTTATCCCTTATTTTGAAGATCTCAATCACAGTGGAAAATGTTCTTTTGACCTTTTATATTTTCACTTTTACCTTCTTTTTTTTTTTTTTAAATTTCAGAAACCCTGTGTAGATTTCTGACCTTCACAAACAAGTTGGAGCACCCCACTGTTCAGAGTCCTGCATATGGTAGCTATAGACTCAAAGCAGCTGCACAGAGAGTTAGACAGTGGAGAGAGTGATGGAGGGAAAACCAGCACTTAAGTGATGATATAAGCCCAATCATACTATCAGACCAGTGGATGGAACACCATCCACAGACTTGATTTGGCAGGTTAAGGTTTGGTTTCACGCTGGACGCAACCTGACTTTGGGGGTTCTCCCCACACTGCTTACCTGGATGTTAGGGTTCTGTGAGCCCATGTCTGCATTGGCCAGCTCTGGTAAGTTCTTCAGGTCCAGGATAAAGGGCTCAGGGTCTTCCTCAGGTTCAGGAGGGGGGAGGACACCCTGGTGATGGCGCTGGGACCAGTGGTGTCTGGACCTAAGGGAAGGACTAGATGGCAGAGTCTGGAGCAGGTTCTCCTGCTGCAGCTCCCGGAGAGTCTGCTGAACGCCGTCCTGACCATGCTTTGCTAAAAGCTGGGAGACAAAAAAACACAGAAATACTAGGTGAGATATAAAAACATGTAGGAATTTCTGAACATGGTGTTAAAATTTGTACAATAATGTCGTAATATTAGATTAGATTAGGGCTGCGCCAAATTATTTGTTCATCGATTAATCTATCAATTATTTTTTCGATTAATCTATTATTTTTTTATTACTTGATTAATATAACAATGAATTTACCCAAAATAAATATTAAAAACTTGACACCTATATTTCAGTTTTTTCATTCTTTAACACCTTTGTGTTTTCACTGATAAAATTGTCATTTTTAACAGTTTCACCAAGTGCTACACATATTTAGAATCAGCATAACCTCAGCTATATATTAATAATAAATGTCACTCAAAGACGTCAGTACAGTATAATAGAGGTTAATACCCCATAAAACAAAAAAATAGAAAACCAAAAAACGAACCTTGAATTTTTTTATTTGAGTTGTTCTAGAGGTGATTTGAAGTTTCTATCGCTATCTCTTCACAAGATATGCTCATTTTCTGGAGCAGTATTTATGGGTGTTTTTGTCTGTTCATTGAAAAATCAGCTCCAAATCCTCTGTTGCACTAAATATGTGACTGTCACATCCTTCTGTCTGTTTTCTGTCACTTCAATAAACCCTAAACAACTTCTCCTCACTTTGATATCAGAGTAAAACCAGAGACAGTAGAGAAATTGAGACGCTTCATTTCTGATTATTTGCTGTATCTGTGTCATGTAGGTTTCTCCGCCTCCCCGCCCCTGAGGTCTGAGTGTATTCATTCCAATGGCTGAAGTGAAGAAGCCACACGTCTTCAGAACACTCTGACATCAAAATGACATTTTTCAGACAAACAGATCAGGAGAAAATTTACTTTATTGGAGCCCTGCCTCTTGTCTCAACTGCCGACATCGTTTGCCAACTGATAATTGATAACTGATTTACTGATAAGTCAAACCATGGATTAAAATTTAAAACTTAAATAAAGCTTCTTGGTATCATCCACCCAAATGTAGTCAAATAAAGATGGTAAGTGCAATAAGGGTAATTTAACAAACACAAGAAAGTCCAAAACTTAAAAAAAACTGAGGCTGAGGTAGAAAACACAAAAATCTAAACTAAGGTAATCCAAAACACTGGAACAAGAGGAGACACATGAGGAAATGCACAAGGGAAGCGAGCAGGAAGAAACAGCAGCAGAACAGACGACCTGACATCGACAGAGGGGAAGGGAGGCAGGAATAACTGAACACAGGTGAAACACATTAGGGTGGGGCAGACAATCACAACAGAAGGAAACTGGACAAAGACAGGAAGTAACCAAGCATGAGACACACAAGGTAAGCAGTTTCAAAATAAAACAGGAAATAGTCCAAAGAAAGAGTCCAAAAGTCCAAAAACTGTCACACCAAGGCCAGAGCATGACAGGGATCTAATTAAGAGTGAAATGACTTTAGTTACACCATGACCACCTTTCATTGTTTAATCAGTCAAACATTTCTGTTTGTCAACTTAATTAACTTCATTCTTCTTGGGTTTCAAAACAATGAAATTGTATTAAATGGGCAGAATTTGTAACTAATTTTGAATGTGTTAACATTTGATGGATTCTGACCAGGGCTGTCGTCAGTTTGAGGTCATTCTCTGCGCTTCTCTTGAACAGTCACCTGCCATTAACCTGATAGAAACTGTGTCTGCCTCTCGCCCTCCTAAATTTATTAAATCAAAAATAAACAGAAGAGTTATTCATAAAAACCTAATAAAAATTAATACAACTACTAGAACAGAACTAAAAAACAAAACAATTAAACAATTAAATGTGGATTATTAAATATCAGCTCACTCTCTTCTAAATCCCTGTTGGTCAATGATCTGATAACTGATCATCATATTGATCTACTCTGTCATACATAAAAGAATGTGTATTGCCATTTTTAATTCTCCAAAAATCTTTGCGTCACCGTGGGTGGGGGGTGGAGTATTCCTTATTTTTTCACATAAAAGGTGTCACCCCTACAGATGAATATTCTCTCTTTTGCATCCAAGCACACCCAGCTTCTTGAAAAGTTTCCCTAAATTAACGTTACATCCCATCATGTTTGTTTTTTGGTTTTTTGCAGAAATGTCTCAAGTCACAGATTATTTTAAAAAGAGAGTTTGCGAGGAGGAGAATCATGAGGACAGGTGAAACAGTGCAGAGTGCAGGCATCTTTAGTTCTTCTAATATGGAAAGTTAATTCATGTTACTGATGAGATACGGTTAATGTGTCAGGACTGACAGTAGTCTAGTTCTCAGCCACAAGTGGAAGGTGCCGGTGGAGGAGAGGATCAGAGCGCGAGAGAGGAGTCAAAGGAGAGTACCAAGTCTTTAGCAGTGTATTAATGAGTGTATTAAAGCCGACGTTTACATGATTTTAACATCAGTTTTTATTCATCTTCACAGATATTCTCAAAAGATGTTCTCAAAAGCATCGAGTGCGTGTCCCGCAGTGGCTGGAGAGATAATGATAATGAAAATATCAAAATTGCAGCACTCCTCCTTACCCCGGGAATGTTCACAAACATTAATGGTTCATAAGAGTTGCGTTTAACAATGTAACAGGACGCACAGGATACTCTCTTACTAATGAGTAAATTCAGAGTCACAAAAAACTGGTTTATTAAGAATGGTGTATAAAAGCCTCTCTTCTGATTGACTGACTGTTTTCTGAGTGAGCCAATAAAAATATAGCAGATTTCAGGTAAACACTTGGAGAAACCAAATCCTGCAAGGTTGGGTAGTGGGTCCAGGTGGGGCTTGGGGAGTGGCTGAGAGCGGTGACTGCTTTGTTGTTGTTAATTTGTACATGTTTTTTTTAAAGAACTTCCTCTCAGAAATTTTTATAATAAAAGTGTTGTTTGAACTCAAGAATTGCAGGGAAAAACGAATTTTCTTGCATCTTTATTTTGTTGACAAAATCGCTCAAGAGGAAGTGATTCTGTGGGTAACTGTTGCTGCTATGATGGAGATCTATTGTAGAACCAGGCACTGACGCCTGATTTGACTGTCTGTGTCTCTCATTCATTCTCAACATTGATAAAAGTATAAACAAGCATGTTAAGGCGGAGGCTCTATTTCAACATTAGCTATAGTTTAATGTGAGGCTGTGAGAGAGAAGTAGCCTACCAGTGTGATTCCACAGTTAAGTATGTGCCAATAGTCACGGTAGTCAAGTGACTTTAGTCAGCCATAAAGTGTGTAGCTAACTGAGTACAGTAGGCTGGCTACTGAAAGGAAAGACAGTTAAGCTAACCCAGTTTTTTAAGAGAGCGAGGAGAGAGCTGCGTCGTCGCCCCTCACTAACGCCTGATGCCTGCTCTGTTTACCCAACTTACCTCGTTTGTTTTTCTTTTCCTCTGAAAATACCTAAGTAAGGTCATTTTTAATTGAAGCTTTAGCCTATATGAACGTCTGCTAAATATCATTATATCACTGAACTCGTTAATACCTGCACAGGGGGAAAAACAGTGTAATTTTCCCTCATAATAAAGTGCATCATTAATTTAGATTTTAATAGATATTGAACACTTAGATTTAAAAATTTTAAATACAGGTAACAGCTATATTTTTAAAAATATATTTCATATATTTTTAGCTATGAGCTATATTGAAATGAGTGACAATTTTTCTTGTTTCTTACATTACAGATGGCAACTAGAGAAACCAAAGTGCCAATGGAGCCCAATTTTCCTTTGCATGGGCTTGGGGTGATGCCTTTAAAATCCACCATCAGTCGACCGCTAGTTTACACATAATTGATTTAGGTGCAGAGAATGTTCAAGATCAAGGAGCAAAGGGAATAAGTCCTCCTTACTTGTAGCGCTCAGTATATCATTGCTTAATATGGTCAAATCTACAAATCTGCTGGCTTCCTCGGCCTCTGAGCTGTGATGATCAAGACAACACGGTCATGCTGTCCAAAAAGTTTAAGCCACACAACTCATGAGGAAGCTTGAAACAATACTGATGTAAGTCAACACAGGAGATGGAAAGAGGAGACAGATACAGTAGATGAGTGTGAACCATGAGATGTGACTGTTTCAATATTACCCTCTGATTAGCTGACAAAGTAATTACAGGTAAAACAGAGGAAACCACCATCAGAGCATTTCTAATGGGAGGGTTGGGAGGGTTTTAAAATTCAGACTGTTAAAAGGTTTAGTACTTATTAAAAGCTTATGAGGCTTAATGTTAAGTCAAATGTACTTTTGATATATTGAACAAACTGAAATCAACATTTGGAACGCAATTTTGCCAACATTAAATCTCAATAACATGCAGCCTTCAGCTACTTTTTCACAACTTATGTCAGCTCACACTTTCCTCTTTACCCTTACAGAGTGAGCTGCAGGGCGGGCGGTAGAGCAGTTTACCTCACTAGGAGACGCTGAATTGTTCGTGTCTCTGACTGAAGTCGTCTTTGAGTTCGTAGGAAATCCGCTGACCGATACCGATACCACAGTGAGGATCATCAGCCACAGATGCGACACTTCCCTCCGCTGCATCTTCACCGGACCTCTGTGTTGACCTCCAAAGCGACAGGACGCAGAATCCTCCAGCCTCTGTCCTCAACTGTAAGAGCAGCGTTCAAATCATCTGAGCGAGCAGAGAGGAAGATAACACACTCATGTGCGTCTTCTCCGTGCGCATCTGCAGCGCTGCCGCTCCGTGCTCAGTCGCTTGCTCCCTTAAAATAAAAATCCCCGGCATCCGAAGTCTGTTGTTGGTGTGTTCATTTCATGTTCATGTTGGACACCAACATAAAAATCAACGTAAAAATAATTCTCATTGGGCAACTGCAGCTTCAACCCGCGGAGCGGACCGACACACAGTCCTTGGGTCCTCCTGTGCTCAAGTACCACTGAGTCAGTTAGTCCGCTGGTTGTAGCTACTCCAGTCTGTAGTGCTGGTTTAACAGGAGCAGCGCCTCCCCTCTGCCCTGGATGACGCAATGGGGGGAGGAAGAGAAAACATAAACGTGTCGTTTAATTTAACAAACAAAACAACATGTAGGCTAGTTTAGTTTAAGAAAAAAAAAAACAAAACAACAACGAAAAAGATACAAACAAATAAAAATGTAGTTTAATGTAACACACAAACAAATAAACAAAAAATTTGCAGGTTAGTTCATTAAAAAAAAAAAAAAAAATGCAGGCCTACTAAGTAAAGACATGTTTAATGAAAAAGTAGCTCATGTCATTTATAGATAATATAATAAAAATGTAGTTTGATCAACAAAAATGCATGTAATTTAATAAAAAGTCACAGTTCCATTTTAGCACTAGATGATACAATCCCTTGTGACCTGCATTTAGCTGTGATGACGTGAGTGGGGATGATCATGCCTCAACTGTGGGTTTTCAGGAGGGAGCAATGGTGTATATTGAGGTAGGGTGTAGATGGGGGTCAAAGCTTCATTGGGGTCATCAGGTGGGCACCCTCCTTCATAGGTGTTTCGATGACAGGCCCACAACACTGGCTCATCAGCAACATCTGGCTTCCCAGGTGTGCCCCCCTCTGCTTTAACTCCCTCTACTCACCCTGTTGCTGCGGCTGTTGTTTTGGGGTCCAGGTGATGTCTCTCCTCTTGATCCAGAGCCAATGACTAGCCTGTTCGGCAGCACAGGAGACGGCTTTGATTCCTTGCCAAAGGGCATGTCCTCGAATTCCCATGTCCTTAAGTAGCCTGGTGGTTGACTGGCCCACAAAACCTCTGCAGCTGATCCACCAATAACTTCCAGTCTCATGCCCCACCTAGCTGGCCAATGTGTGGCTTGGATGTTTAGGCGTTGTTTAGCGTCACACCTGCACTGATGAACGCTATTCCAGCTGTGGGATGGGACGAGAGAGGAGGTAGGGCGTTGATGGATTATCCGCCTGGTCTCTTAGGGCTGTGCCGCCAGGTGTAACGGCCTTGCGTAAGGCTTGTCTCGCAGCCCACCAGAAGGTGCTTCAGGCTGGCTGGAGATGGACAGAGCAGGCACGTGGGGTCTGCTCCGTACCACTGGTTGAGGTTGATTGGAGATGGCAGGACGTCATAGATGACTCTAATAATGAAGCTGGTTCGATGCGCTTCATGTTCCACAGCTTCTACCAAGAGAATTTTCTCTTCCCCACCTTGTCCCTTCGCTTCGATCGGCCCTGCTTTGCTTGAGCAGTCTCTCAAGCAATATATTATATCTAGTTTCATCAATACAAAAAGTGTTTTAATAATAGAAAAATATAGTTTAAATAAAAAGCATGTAATTTGATAATAATAATAATGATAAACATGTCATTTAATCAACATAAAGAATTAAAATGTAGTTTAATTAACAAAAGGCAGTATAATAAAAAAAAATCATGTGGTTTAATACCCCAAAAACAGTAGTTTAATAGTGTATAAAGTCAGGTAATCTAGTGGATGTCAGAAAACCATGCAGTTTAAGCAGACAAAAGCATTTTCTAGGGGGGTCACTATGACAAGAGTCATTATTCCACACCTAGAAATAAAATGCATATCAGATATCATAAAATCATGATTTTCATATGATTTTTTTTTTTCCAACTTTATTTACAGAACACAGAGTTTGCTAATGCTAGTGAGTGGCATGTGAAATGAGTGAAATGAGTGAGGAACAGGAGGAAAACGCTGAAAAGGAATATTTGGTTGCAAAAAGACACATTTTATTTATGAATTGTATCAGTCACTCTCTCTAGTAATCTTGCCTTGTATGTCCAGAGTTTCAATGCTATATCTTTGATATCTTTTTCATTTACATTTCAGACAATGATGTGGATGGTGAGACGTTAGACCACTGACTCACAGAAAGTATGATTGTGTATCTCTTTGACAAGTCTTTCAAAAAGCAGCTTAAATTCAGAGACTTCACACACCACTACAAGGAGGTCACCATTATTTTGGAAGCCATCAACCCAGAACAACAAACATGAAGCTCCTGTGTCCCCAGCAAACCAGGTAATAATGTATTAAATGTGCTATTTTTTTCATGTTTTCTTTCTTGCATTAAGGTGTTATTGTCCTAATCTGCATTAAAGTGGTTGCAAAATGACAAAGATAATGTAGTTCTCCTGATGTATTGCAGTTTGGAACCTACTTGCCACAGACTGGCATCTAAGCGGCTCTGGACATCTTGTGGGAATTGTGGAATGGAAATGAGTACAGGCAAAGAACCAGTCCTCAAGGAACAAAAGTACCGCAACAAAATAATTGGGACTCTGTATGAAATGCTGTCACAGTGTACAATGTAAGTGTTCCTTTCCAAATATCATACCATAATATCATACTGTTATATATATATTTTAAACATAAAATGTAATATTTTCCATATACTAGTGGATTTTTGTTTTTTTATGTCAATGATTAACATCACTGATTCCGATGCATTACTATTTTTTCTGCAGTGTCAGTTTTAAAAAAAAAACAAACAAAAAAAACCTCTGAGGACCCAGAGGACAAAAATGTCCCCATTGAAACCCATTAAAACTGCAATTTTTAATCTTACTGCCATAACAGTCTATCATCAACTAAATTATGGGATGCAATATTTTTATACTGTCTGTTTCCTTGAGGTATTCTGTCTAAATATGTTCTATCTAAATATGTTGTTACCTTGAAGTATTCTGCCTAAATATGTTGATATGACTGTTTTGTTGATGCATACTGTACATACAGTACAAGTCAAAGGCAACACCTAAATGCTGATCCCTTACCATGAGGGGTCAGATGGCTCCATTATTATCATTCAGAATAACTTTTTATTGATTTGTAATGAATCTTGGATCAAGGGGTAAATTTGGATCCAATCCATTCCAAGATAATGGCCCCCAGAGAATAATAGAGCCATTGAACCCCTTTAAAGTAAGGGCCAAGCATTTAGGTGTTTACCTTAATTTTTCCCTCATCTGTATATTGTTACACAAGCTTTTACATTTAAAATATATGTTTATATGTGGGTTTTTGCCAAAAAGTTTTCAGTCTAACTTTGGGGTGGGGGGAATGGAAGAGTAGTCCAGCAGTTTAAAATATGCAGTATATAATGTTAATAATTTAAGCAATCTTTACATCTCATTATTTTATACATTGAAATTGACATGGATACATTTTATGTGTAACTATATTTGCAATGAATTCACTTTTTATTACACCACCATAAATGCTGTCATGTCGATCTGAAAATTGTTCTTTTTATTGATGTCAATAAACAGTCAAGAAGCAATTATTAAGTGGACATTTCTGGTACATTTTTATCTCCTTAAAGTCCAGAATAGCTTGTTGCTGGGGTGGTACAGCAATGGACCCTTTCAATGGGGTCCATTGCTGTACTATAAAAGGTACTTTTATGTCTTGCAGGGTACACAATTGTATTTTAACAGGTACAATTTGATAAGGTACAAAAATGGACCGGCACTGAAGGGTACACAGTTGTCTCTCAAAAGGGTACCCCCCAGCGACAAGCATTTGTACGCTTTTAGATACACACTGGTACCTCTATTTTGAGTGTGTGGAACTCTACATAAACAATAGGTCTCTTGCACCTAATAATAATTAAAGCTGCAAGCTGCAATTGAACCTGCAAGCAGTTGAGCGGGCCTGTACACTGTTCTGCATGTCGGGGTGGCAGCCTTGCTGCGACCATTGTGCAACACCACATTGATGAGTAAGATGCCTTAATCTGAGCCCCCTGGGGTAAAGGCAACTTTGCAGGGAGGCCTCAAATTACGGAAAAAAGCGTACCCAAAGCCAGTAATGCAACAGTTTGCAATGGTGTTCACACGACAATATTCATAACATTTAATACTTAACCTTGTGATCTGTGGATTTTGTTGTGTTGTCATCGTGCCTTATGTTACCTTAAGTTCATGTGATTCAGCCAAAGGATCAAGGTTCTAAGACAACCCGTACTCCACTTTGTGCAATAAATGCAAAAGCCTGTCACTGAATGAGTGATTGAGTGAGTCAGTCAGTCAGTGATGAAATGACACCTCTGGTCGGTTGGAGTTCAGTTCCCATGTCGCTCAGGAGGGAGAGTGGGTGTAAAGGTCGATTGACTTTCAGCAATCAAGACGACTCTTTCAGAGAACAATAGTGAAAACAGTAGTTATGACAGTATGGAACATCTGTTGAGCATAACTCAATTTTTGAAGCTGTCGTTGAAATACACATGTGTTGAGAGGGCAGGTTAATGAAGTGGATATAGCAAGCCACTGTTAAAATGTTGGACGTACAGTGTGTTACTGAAGTATATGCTTGTACGGTGTGCATCATTTCTTATATTAAATAGGAATAAAGATGAGGTTGCTGTTAGAAAATTCCCAAAGAGAAGCATCTAAGGACAGAAATGTTAGTGCAACATAGGCATTGAAAAATCCAGGCAGTGTTTATCAAATGCATAAAAAAATTGAAATTAAAATCAATATGGCAGACTTCCTGAGGGTCTAAGAGTTTGGCTCCATGAAATTTTTTTTTCTTCTTGCCATGATGTGCCTACCACATCTAGCTCAAAATGACAGTGGGGGCTTTTGTCTTGAAATGTGTAGGGGGTGTTATTTTGTTTATCTTGCCACCCAGTGAGGTGCATAGACATTTTGGGGGGCAGGGGCTCAAGTTAGAAAGAGGGGACCTCTCATAATTATTATATTACACATATTTCTACATTATTTAGAAAATTGCATAATATGTGATCTTTAATAAAAAATGGCTTTGTATATCATATTAAATGTCATGCATTCTTTCATCCCACCTTTTTTGGCTTGAATATCTCTTAACACAAACTACTACTGCCTTTCAACACCAGCTGTTACTGTTTACTACTTCAATAAGTAATTTTCG